TTTGGTGGAATTATGATCTCGGAGGATAAAACATTCAATCTGTTTTTATTTCCGGCATAAAAGTAGGCTTCGGCCTCCATCTAAAGATGGACACCAATGTCTGTTTCCTTGTTTATTTGAATGGCTGTTGAATTGGGAATTCCCTGAGGTGTTTGGATTGTGTCACTTCTAATAACTGAGACAGAATATTGTCTGTGCCGAGGCTAGTCAAATCTGGATTCTCCGTTTTGATTAACTCGCTGGCTGGATTTTGCAATGCAATAAAAGTCCCTGTATGGTTCAGCATCTGGCGCGTTGCTCTCCCGAGGGGTGCCATATGTGTGTGGAATCTAAAAATGGGTGGATTTAAGGTGATCGCAGCTATTGTAGCAGAACAGTCCCACATGTGACGGTCGGCACACAGCCAGAGTTCCAGACTTCGGATTGGTTCAGGCCACAGTCAGCTCCGCGTCTTAAAACATCCCTGTGTGGTTCACATTTTGCTTCGTACAGCCACATCGACCACTTCACCTCATTTTGGAATGTAGGAGAGTTAGTTTTCCTTGTAGTTTTATTGTTCTAGAACAAAAAAACACACCCAGATCAAGCAAAACCCCGAGAATAAAACAAGGATGTGACCTCAGTGTTCCGCTGCGTGGGCAGAACAATGGCTGCCACTGTTAGGAAACAGTCTGACAGCCAGTCGGTTTCAATGAGAACGCTTTGGGTGGCTCGTGATTGAGCGAATATGCTTATCTTTAATCTGAAGTCGGCCTTTGGTGTAAGAGGCCATCCAAGTGGTCAGCGGGGCGGCATTGGTTGCGTAAGGCAGCCATCCGCCAGGTGATTATATTTATGTCTGAGTTTTATTTTAAGATTGAGTTTACAGGTCCTCCAAACAATGAAGACAGTCCGTAAACATGGCTCCATGTTCATTTCAGACAGGTTGCACTTATGGTCACTCTGACTGTCCTTGTGTTATTGTGGGCAAGAGGTGAGCGTTGTGTTTTCGTCGGCTCGGAATAGGTGGTGGGGGGGGGTTAATCAACCTGTTACTGACATCTTGACATCTGTGAGTGGTGTGGAAACAGCTTTCTATCAGTCCTCTGTCTGTTTCCTGTTGTTTCTGAGGCAATTTGAGGCCTAAAATAAGAGTGCCCACTAATGGTTGTTGAGTCTGTGCATCGTGGGTGCGTCGAATATACTTTAGGCTAAACTAAATCTGACCCTCGGAGGCAACGGAGCACTTACGATGTTGGAAAAACAGCCGAAAGGTGAAAAACGCTCTCATTGTCCTGTGATTACCTCCCACACCCCGGGATGTGAAACTAAGTCCTTCCATTGTCCTCAGCGTTCTGTTAAAAAATTTGACCTTTGTGTTGTCAGTGATCGCACCCCCTCCCTCTCCTCCCTCCAGCTGAGCTCAGCCAAGTCGAGGCCGCGGCTCCGCTCTCCCGTGGCGCACCTGTTTGTTGACGGGCGCTGGCGGTCAACGCCGGGCCGTAGGACAAAAGCGGCAGACGGCGTCCCAGCTCCCAAATTACACGCGTGACCCGAGACGTTTGACTGGCAGCGGGGGCGGCACGCTGCCAAGTGCCACTCCGTCCTTTCTGCAGAGAAATAAAAAAAACTGCAGTTTCACAACTGCCAGAGGCAAAAGATCCAAATTCAGACAGACTCGATTGGCCTCCAAAGAAAAATTGCCCAATGCTGATGTTGAGAAATGGATTTCCTTCTTATCTTCCGTGCTGCCTCTGGTCATCCTCAGAAAACAGCAATGTGTGTGTTTGGTCCACTGTACAGTCATGTGGGGGGGGGGGGAAAGAAGCACGCACCCTTTAAATTATGTGTTACATGCCGTGTTATTAAAAAATAAAATGACACATCGTCACAATATTACCTCAGATGAACAGCAGGTCGTGACATATTGCAGGATCCTTATTTATTTACCAAAAAGTCATTCAAAATGCAGTGTGAAAAACCGAATGCAGCCCATATGGCGTTGAGTCACCTGTTGCAGTAAATGTTTCCTTTGTGACGTCATCCATCCTCCCCCCCAGTGAACTGAATCAGCTCATTGAGGATGGTAAGAATTTGACAATTAATCTCTGTCTCCATGTCCCGGCGTAAAGTTTCAGACAGAAGGAAGGGTGAACTTTTCCTTTGTCCTCGTTGCTGTGTCTGGGACTGTTGTTGTATGGCCACGTTTCAGCCAAAGCCTGGCCTTCAGACAGACAGACTCACATCTGGATCTCAGACTGCAATTTGTCCAGGTCCTTTTACTGTGAAACAAACCCCATATCATTACCTTTCCAACTCCGTGCCTGACTGTTGTTATGAGGTGTTTGTGCTGTTATACAGCACATCATCTCTATGTTTTGGCCAAACGTCTCCGCTTTGGTGTAATTTGACATTGTTACAAAATTCTTCAGGTTTATTCAAAGACAAGACCTCTGTTTGGGGAGAAAAGGCTTTTTCTGGTAACTATTTAACATCTGGTCGAGAAGAACTCTGAGATAAATAAGCATTCGAGGTAGTTGACTTTTTTAGTGACTTGTCTATTATTTGAGGGGTTTGCTGTTTAATCTGGTGCATCCCATTCCCGGGTTAGGGAATTCTAATGATTTTCTGTGATGCTCTGACTGTTTGTAGTCATCATTATTATCGCGTTACAGAGGCTTTTTTTTCTGCTTAAAACTAGCAAGCACAACATGTCCATCGACTTTGGGTGTTCTTTGTATTTTGTACAAAACAGATAGATCAGGTGTCTTCTGAGGAATGCTCCCATCCAGGTGGCCTATTTCTCTTTTCCCTTTGAATGTGTGTGTGTCTGTGTGTGTGTATGTGTGTGTCCACGTGTGCATGCATGTAAGGAGAATACAATACAAGTCAGGGTTGGGTCCACCCTGCGTGGGGATTCCCTGAGCACAGTCCCTTTGCCTGTGGATGGGAATCGTGTTGCCGTGGAAAAGTGGAAAGCTTGCCGATAGCATCTGGTACAGTGAGAAACGCTTCGTCTCCATACAGGTGACGTGCTGGGAGACAGAAAAACCCAAACAAAGTAAATCACAATGGAGGTCTATGCCAACATAAAAAGAAGATGAAGAATTTGCCTCAGCTTTGAACTTTTCTTTTCCTTCTTTCAATGAAAAAGGGGACTCTGTATTGATAATGAAAGGAAAGCTACATCTAAAGAATCCTGTTCTACGGAGCACTGAGCGTTATAAGTCATGACTGATCCATCCGTTCTAAGTTGCAAATCTTCCCTCCTCGTGCCGGGGCTGTCACAGTCACTTTATTAGTCTGCTCTGAGTGGAAGATGAACACCGCTTGCTTGTTTCTTTCATTTAGGCAGAGACATAAGTGGTTGCTCAAAGGTCTTTTTTCTCCTGCAGCAGTCAAACAGTGAGGTGTTTTCTCTGCTGGAGGTTAAAAAAAAAGTTTTCAACCAAGGCTAATTTAGACATTTTCACAAGGTTTCTGTCTCTGGATGTGGGCTCTCCGCTCT